AAATCATGTTAAGAATAATGATCTCTTGATTAGGGATAAATCACTATTACCACAATGATTCTTGTAGAAGCCATAGAATATCGCTCCCAAAAGCTTACAAAAGTGTCTTCTGCTTTGGCGTCTTCGCTTGTGTAGCACGTAGGGCACAAGTTTGATTGCACCAGAACATGTGCAGCAGCCATAGCTAAAACAGCTTAATCCCCGTAATAAATCTCACAACTCATTCGAAACATCATAGAAAAAAATCTAATATGTATACTGACTAAAAAACACATCCCAGGTTCGTAGGAATCATCAAATAATTTTCTCAAGATATGTAGGAAGCCCTATCATTAGCTATTCAGAATGATGGTGATTTTAGAGACAATGGGGAAAAAAAGGAGGTCACCTTGGATAGAGCAGATATAGCACCAAACATTACCAAGGTGGCTATAGAAGGGGATTTATCTCCTAAGCAGATTAACAAATTAAGGGAGAAGTATACTAAAAAGAAGAAGCAAGGAGAAAAAGATATTGCAAGGAGAAAGCTTCATCTAGGCAGTCAAAGAGAATGATAATAAAAAACTCTAAGCATCAATGAAAGCCTTTATATGGAATATTAGGTCGGTAAATACCCAAAAGGCGTTTACTAGATTAATCCAAATGCATAAAAGACAACAATACTGATTTATGGGTTTAATGGAACCCTTTGAAGATTGGCAAGGGCTTGAAGAATGTAGAAGAAGACTAGGAATGAAACATGCAGTGGCAAACTCTTATGGGAAGATTTGGGTGTTCATAGATAGGGCCATGGAGTATGAGATTACCGGGGATGAAGACCAAATTTTAACTTGAAAAGTACAACATCAGGGCATGGGCATAGAAGCGATGTTCTCAATAGTATATGCCAAGTGTACTCAGGGTGAGAGATTAAGCTATGGGAATCTATGTCGGAGATAGAAAGTATAGTGAACATCTCATGGATAATTAGTGGAGACTTCAATGTAATTAGCAGTGAAAATGAGAAATTGGGGGCAGAGCAGTTACAGAGATAGAAGTAAGAGACTTCAACCATGTTTTAAATGTGTGCAACTTGGAGGATATGGGTTTTCGAGGAAGCAAGTACACTTGGTGGAATGGAAGAACTGATGAAGAGTGTATTTTCAAAAGACTAGATAGGGTTTTAACTAATGACAAGATGCAAGATATATTCCCTATTTTAGAGGTTGAACACTTAGTGAGAAGCGGTTCTGATTACGCACCACTATCAATTACTTCTGAAAAAAGCAGGGAGGAGGTGAGCAAACCATTCAGATTTTTAAATTTCTAGTTGAAGGAGGACTTTTTCATGGAGCTGATTCGAAATCATTGGATGGTTGATTTCGAAGGAGACCCATTATAAACTTAAAGGGGTCAAGAAAGCTTTAACTCAATGGAGCAAAAAAACTTTTGGTAATATTTTTTAAGAAATAGCAACGCTTGAGGAAGTTATAAGGGTTCATGAAGTGCAATTTGAAATATTCCCAACAACTGGGAATAGACAAAGATTGCATCGAGCTCAGGCAGACTTGAAAAAACAACTAAATATGGAGGAAGAGTTTTGGAAGTCGTGCATTGAATGGTTTAAAGAAGGAGAAAGAAACACTAAGTTCTTTCACACTATTATCAAAGGTAGGAGAAATATGTTACGATTTAATAGGATACAAAATGAAGAAGGTGAATGGCAGGAGAAACAATCGGATATTGTAGAAGCGATAGTGGAATTTTATATCGAACAGTTCACTAGGCAAGAAGAAGTTTGTAAAGACTTTGGGATGCTAGAGGAGTTGCCATTAGTAATCACAAGTAATATGAATGAGAAATTGGAGGCCATGTCATCATTAGGAGAAGTAAGGAAGGCATACATGAGGTTGAATAAAAACAGTAGGGAGGACCAGATGGATGACAGGGGCGTTCTACAAGGGCACTTCGGAGAGGATATACACAAAATGGTTAAGGCCTTTGTATGTGGGGCGGAACTGCCTAGATATATCACACATACAAACTTGGTTCTTATTCCAAAAAATGTGGCACTCAATACCTTGTCGGATTTGAGACCCATTTCACTGAGCAACTTTGTGAATAAGATATTCTCGAGAATAATCCATGAAAGAATCAAAATTGTGCTACTATGATTATTTCTCTCAAGCAAGCGGATTTTTTTCAGGGAAGAAGTATAGCTGAAAATGTGTTAATGTTGCAGGAGATTGTTTCAGAGATAGGGAAAAGAGGGAAAACACCTAATCTAGTAATTAAGCTAGATATGATGAAGGTGTATGATAGAGTGGAATGGATGTATTTAACCAAAGTACTAAGAAGGCTAGGATTTGGGGTTAGAATCATTGATACGGTGTATAGACTGATTAGCTATAATTGGTACTCAATTCGATTGAATGGAAAGTCGAAAGACTTCTTTAAGCCATCTAGAGGACTTAAGAAAGGGGACCTTTTATCGCCTACTTTATTCATACTAGCGTCATAAGTTATGTTGAGATCTCTTAATTCTCTCATGCAGAAGAAGGAATTTAAGAGGTTAGGTATGCCAAGAGGGAGTAAAAAGCTAAATCATATGACGTTCATGGATGATATGATCAATATATGCAAAGTGGATATGGGAACAATGAACATGATGGGTGAGACCCTGAGGAAGTATGAATAGATCTTAGGACAGAAAGTGAAAAAAATGAAGATAAAAGTGCACTTTACATGCACCACAGAGTAGGGGGTGAAGAAATAATGGTAGAAGTGGTTACCAGAATTCTGATAAAGGATTTTCCTTTTACATACCTAGGATGTCCTATATTTTACAAAAGGAAGCAAAAAGTGTATTACCAGCAATTGATTCAAAGGATAGCGACAATGATACAAGGATGGAGGGGAAAGTAGTTGTCATATGGTGGAAGGGCGATACTAATAAAACGTGTATTGCACAGTACTCTTATTCATTGTTTATCAATGATGAATCCCCCTATTAATGTATTGAACCAAATACAAAAATTGATGGCTCAGTTCTTTTAGAGTAGCTACAGTGGAGGAAGAGGAAAACATTGGAGTAGTTGGAGTAACTTAGGCCTACCTGAGGAAGAATGAGGATTGGGTTTTAGAATGATGCGGGACATTTCGGCAAGTCTTTTCTACAAGTTATGGTGGAATTTTTTAACGAAGAAGACACCTTGGAGTGACTATATGATGAACAAATACCGTAAGAAGAAACACCCTAATTTTATATTTGGAAGATTGGAGGGGGAGGCTCACAAATCTGGAAAATAAAATGTTGCAAGCTAGACAGCTGGTTGAACATCAGATCCTGTGGCAGCCAAGGCGAGGTTCATCAATTGTATGGCATGACAACTGAACAGGAATGGGAGATTTTTACACTATCACAGAGGATCTTACCAAGGAGAGAGAATGGGATGAGGAAATAGTGAAGGAGATATTACCAGCATAATTGGCTGAACATATCTTGTGTCACATTAAGCCTCCTCAAGGGAGCACTGAGGAAGACAAGGCTAGATATATGTTATATACAAATGGAATCTTTTCAATCAAGTCAACATGGAATTATATCCGGCATAAGGGGGAGCCTAATCGAATATACAAATGGATATGGACCAAAGGAGTACCATTCAAAATGGAATTTCTAATGTGGAGACTCTGAAAATTTAAGATCCAGGTAGATAATAGAGTGAGGAGATGGGCCATTGTATGTCCATCCCGATGTCGGTGTTGTATTACACCTGATCAGGAGACACTAACACATGTGTTCCTAAGGTCTGATTATGCTAACAGGACTTGGCCCTATTTCTCTTCCTTTGCATTATCAATATAACAGGACTATCTCTAAGAGTAGACATTATGTAGTGGTTCGGAGCAAACTGCAGATATGATAGTAGACCATACTATAGAGCTCTTCCAAGCTTTATTGTATGGGAACTATGGAAAAGAAGGAATGGGATAAAACATGAAAGGAAAAGCCTATCAATACCAAGAATCATTCACAACGTTTCCAGGAACATGTATATATTGATAAAGGTAAGAAGGCCAAGCATGAAGTGTTCAGGAAGATGGGTTGAAATGATCAAAGAACTAGAGGAGTATAACACACATTTGAAGACTAAGCTGGGAAAGTGGGACTATTCTCTTGAAAGGTGGGTTAAATACAATATTGATAGGGCTTCTAAAGGAAACCAGTGCTTAGCTCATATGCATTTTGCCTAAGGGATGATAGAGGGGATATTATTCATGCAGAGGGAACAAATATTGATAATGCTACAAGCATAGAGACAGTCCTAGAAGCAAGCAGACATTACATGCATATGAATTACAACCAAGTCATCATACAAATAGACTCTATGCTATTGAAAAAGAAAATTAACAGGGGAGTGGGAAGTACCTTGGAATATATATGATTCAGTTGAAGAAATAAGGTTGTGCCTATTTGGAAATTAAAACAGCACACCTTCCGTGTTCCGACACATAATGAGGGAAGGAAAGCACTTAGCTGATTATCTAGCAAACAGGGCTATAGAGATATAGTGGGCAGTAAGAATATTTCTTAGTTGACCTATAATAGAAGTATTACAAGCGGAAGGGATTTTAAGTGTTTTGATTCCTAGATTGCATAGGGTACTAATCTAAATCTTGCCTCGTGTTTAGTGGAGTTACTATTGAAAGACTATGTGGTAGGTCATGATTTTGAGATTAGGGAGGAGTCAAATCACAAATCAAGGGTAAAATGAAATAATAAATGTTTAGATTTCATAAATATAATACTTTTTGTCTTTGTCTTTGACTCAATTTATATGATGGTATCTGAATGAACACAAATGTTAAAAATTGAAAGGAATATACTTGAAGCAGGGTCTAAAACAAGTCTAAATTATTTCATTAGCAATAAATAAAAAGTTTAAAGTTAAAATATCACTAATATAAAAGTAAATCATTCGATAACCAAAAATTTATTTTTTATTCCATCAGGGGCACAAAGGTTAAAAGGGCTTCAACCTCATCTATAAACAAGGCCTCATTAGCATAGGACAAACCATTTAGTAGAGTACAAGTACCAAAAACCTAATAACGATGGCTATTACATAAACCAAATCAAATACTAATGGTTCCTATCTTATATATATACACAAATTAATATAAAAAGTATTCCATCTCGATCATGACAAGGAAAAGGCCAAACACCTAAGTAGGCTCACAATTGATTGTGTGACTCGAACATCATCATTATAATAATATGCTATATATCATCGAATAACATGTTTTTTCCTTGAGTTTCGATCGATACGTCTAATCCAACATTTGGCATATTTTCCAACTTGAGGTCTCGATCATGACAAGGAAAAGACCAAACATAGCTAAGTTAGGCTCTCAATTGATTGCTTGACTTGGACACCATCGTTATAATAACTCTGTGATTCATCGTCGAATAACATGCTCTTCACCTGAATTTCGATCGATATGTCTAATCCATCGTTTTGCGTATTTTCGAACCTTCTGATTTCCATCTTTACTTGCTATATAAGCAATCTCCAATCCATTCCCAAATGGAAGTGTCACTGATCTCACAACACAAACTTTTCCATTAAGAACAGTATCCCAACTAAACTTGTTACTATCTATATTTCTTATTTTGCTTCCATCTTTGCACATTAAAATAGCACCATGATGACTCAATTTAGCACTGTTAAAGATTGAAATAAAGTCACTTCTCCTCTCATCCACAACCAAAAATTCAACTCCATTTAGCCTTTCCATCACCTCTTTTGCCTCTCCCACCATCACTTCTGGTAACGCCACGCCTGAATTTTGCATGGCGCCTACATATTCCAGTCTTGACTTTTCGTCTGGCACCACACATACGTACCTACACTTACAAATTCAGGATTTTGTTACCTCAGTCAATTCAGTGATGGAGTCAGAATTTTCAATAGTTAATACACACAAAGAAGTCAAAGGGATTCAACAGTTATTGTACATATATTATCAAATATAATTTTTAATCATGTATAAACAGTGTAATGTTTTTGCCCAAAGAGGTTCAGATGACCCCCGCGAGACTACCTAGCTCCACCCTTGAGTCAACCTTCAAATTTATAAAAAAAAATAGCATATTTATATATTTAAAAATAACCTGACAGGTAGATATTATTCACGCTTCCATAGGATTAGTAAGATAGGGATAACTCCATTACTTGTACTTTTTTCATTAAGTTTCGCTTTTATTAAATAAAAAAAAAGGAAAAAAAAACTAGCCATAGACACCTTGTCGGGTGGATTTGCTTATACAAGAAAAAAGAAAAAAAAACTAACTTTGAAATTCGATTTTATGTTACCCTCAGAGAGATGATCCATAACCACGTAAATGTCTAAGAATTGACTTAGACAACAATTTTTTTGTCTATATTGAAAAAAATTATTTAATGTCCGATCAAATTATCTCACATGAATTGAAACAGATAGAAACACCTAAATCTACATACCTTCCACGATTGTGTTTTATCGCGATGGCTAGGCCGATGCTCGTGGCAATCGACTCACCATTTATCTTACTATCACTTTTCCATGCTTCAACTGTTAATTTCGCGTTGTATCCTGCAGCCATAGCTGATAAAAATTCCGCTACACTGGATTTCGTTGAAATTCCACACTGTTTATATGAATAAAATTCAAAATATAAATAAATAAAAAGTAATTCACTATCAGGTGATCCTGAAAACCTAATCAATGAGATTTGGGGCGGTAATGTTCTTCATGAATGAAAAATAAAAAAGGCAAATATTTTGTTACGTACTGTTTGTATGGTGTCAAGATAGGCTTTTGAAGCTGTTTCAGGAGACCAAACTAGCTTCATCTTTTTCTTCTAATACCTTTGTTTGTGTTTTTTAAAATATGAAAAAGAAAAGATGGTTTTTACAAATAATGTATGCTCCTTTTAAACACAAATTTGAGATTTATATTATAAGGTTTTAACATGACTACTAGTTGTTCTCAAGGAATAGTTGACATTTTTTTTATACACAACTACTAGTTGCAGCTCAATAGTCTATGAATGTTTATCTAACTTTATATTCCTTCAATTGCAAATGGTTTGTCTGATTTAGAGTTGATACGAAATTTAAAAAGTATAAATTTTTCTTTTGAATCTTATGATCTTCAACTACAAATATGTAGAACATAGCCAAATATCAATTAATCTTGGGATTTTAAACATATCTGGTTAAAAGTTGACATTAAAAAACTATCATTTTCTTTTTAAAAATAGACTAAAAAGAAAAGTGAAACAAACAAATCGAAACGGAGGGAGTAAATGTTTTAGTATTGTGCTCATTTTCCAATTTCTATTTATTTTAAATTTGTCATGACTTTTTATTTGGTGTTGACATTGAGATACATAACATTGAAGTAGTTAACAAGAATCGTGACCTACCAATATGATTTTTGTTTTTCAAATGTAGATAGTTTGTCGGCTTGCATGAACTTATTATATAATATGATCTATAAGTTTAATTTATATGTCAAGTTGGAAATAATCAAAATCTTATCTGCTTATACATAGGTTGCCGTACTTACAATCTACATGTAGTACAACAAATTACAAGGAGTGAGAAATGAAAAATACAAATGGATGTGGCTAGTTGTACTTGTTTATGAAAGTCAACTTCTCTATCAAGTGGAATAAATCTAACCTATGAATTTTAAGAAAATGTAACTAATGGCACGCATGCTATAAGGAAGAAATTGCTCTATTTCTTTTGTAAAGGTTATATAGTCTTTTTATAGTCTTCACTATATGAGCACACCAACTTCCCTATCAAGGATCAAAGTATCATGCCAAGGAGCCACTAGAGTTTCATAGTCGTAACTATATGAGCACACGTGTTGGACTAATGAAGTAACCTTTCATAAGTGGGTATCAATATATTTTTTGGTTTTCTACTTGTTCGGTGTTCGGTACCTATATTGGAGTTTGTCTAAATCAGAATTTGTGTCGAAAAATTTCATATTGGGAGGTAAAGCACTCCCTAAAAAAGGCGACTTTTTACTCAGGGGGATTCAAACATGAGACCTCTGGTTAAGGATGAAGGAGTACTTACCACTTCATATATGGTACTCCTTTCATTTCAAAAAGATTGATCAACTTCTTTTATAGTCTGTTTAAAAGAAAACCATTTTCCTTTTTTTGAACACTTTAATTTCAGCTTTTCATGTTGTAGACAATAAAATTTTGCGTCGAGAAAACAATAATCAAGAACAGAAAAATTATGCAACAATCGTTTTATTAATTTCAAAGTGTGAGTGTTACAATCTCCTTTGAATTCACCTTTTTGAATATAAATTCAAGGGCTCTTGAGCTTGTTCTTGAATCTTTGATGAACTTGAACTTGAACTTATCTTGATCTTGACTTTCTAGTTGAATTCAAGGGCTTCGAGCTTGATCTTGAATCATGTGGTCTTGATCTTGATCGTTCTTGAACTTTATCTTGATCTTGACTTCTAGTTGAATCCAAGGGTTCCGAGCTTGATCTTGAATCCAGTGGTCTTGATCTTGATCGTTCTTGATCTTGAACGCTTGAATTCTTGAATTCTTAAACTTGTAGCTTGTAGAGAAATTTGTGGCTTTTGATCCACGAGCCTTCTCTAACTTTTGTTTAGAATTCTTGGTCCCTCTTCTGAATTATGAGGGCCCCTATTTATAGTTTTAAAATAGAGCACTTGTGATAGGAATAGGATTCCCTTCGGCCAATCAAATTTAAGTGACATGGCATATGGATTTTATGGAGCGGGCTTTAATTAAATTCATATTTATTGAATTTAAATAATTAAATCAATTATATTAATTCATAATATTTATTTGGACCAATATATTCATGAATTTAATATAATTCGAATCATTTAATAAATTTATATTTAAATAAATTTTAAATGATTACAAATGTCCTATGCTTCAAGTCTTATCAAAATAATTTATAAGACTAGGCTTGAAGTATTGACTTAATATTATAACAATTATCATAATATTATGAGGAAGTATTGACTCAATATCATAATATTATTATTATAATATCATAATAATCTCTACGTGTAGACAGAACCATCATTAACTGTGGGTTTTAATTTCCGTAAAAGTTGGAGTTTATCCTTTAGTCTTAATGAACAAAGTCAACTAGGAATCAAATGGCTCACTATTTTATTTTATTTTAGTCACAAACAATTTCCAGTAGTCATACACGTCGAATCCTATTAGGAGTCCCTTAGTTAAACGGCTTCTAATTTGACTCCAATTAGAACTTGAATGCTTGTATAATTTATGTTGAAATCCAATTGATATTGTTAGAAAATGAGATATTTCTAGATGTCTTTTGTTTAATTGTTATTTTCTTAAATATTATGTTAAGTATGTAAAGGAAAGGTAGTCCTTGTTTTATGGAATATGTTTTGTAAGAAAGTCAATAGTGGGTGGATATGTATGGTCCTCTACTAACTTTTGAAAAGCTTATGTAGATATATGTGTGTATGCTTTTAAAAGCTAAATATATGAATGAATAGTTGCTGCTGAACATTATCTGTTTCTCTCTAAAAGTTCAAATCCTAACAGTGGTATCAAGAGCCCTTGTTCTTGAGGATCTGTGAAGGCAAGAAGGCTAAGGTTTTTTCTACTTCTAAGGTGAGAGCTGAGCAGCAGTAACATGGCATCCAACAGCTTCTTGGGTGCAGGCCCTCCTATGTTTACAGGAGAAAATTATCACATATGGGTGATAAAGATGAAGGCTTATCTCAAAGCTCTTAGTCTATGGGAAACAATTGAAAGTGAAGATGATCCTCTTCCACTTGGACCAAATCCAACAGTTGCACAAATGAAGATTTATGAAGATGCAAAGTCAAGGAAACCCAAGGCTCTCACATGTCTTCATTCAGCACTTTCAGATGTGATTTTCACAAGAATAATGGCTTGTGAAACACCTAAAGAAGTATGGGAGAAGCTAAAAGAGGAGTGCGATGGAAGTGATGGAGTAAAGGCTGTCAAACTC